TATATTTTTGTTTTTTGCCAAGTGTGCACATACTTTTGAAACAAAGAAAAAATTTTTCTTCAATAAAAAATTGTGTTAGCTGCTACGATGTTTTCTCAGAGAAAGTGTTCGTAGGTTATTGCACACATGGAATCGAATGGTGAAGGTCACAGGTTACAGAAAGCAATGGTATTTCCAAAGAATTAAAGTGTTGTGTGTGCACATACTTTTGAAACACACTGTATAATGCTGAACGTCATTTCATTAGTCGAGGAACAGAATTCGATCAGTTCAGCGCGGCAAACGAGTACTGCTCCATATCGCTTTCGGCGTTTCAACGCGTCGCGACGCTGGGCATCGGTGGCTTTGGTCGCGTCGAGCTGGTGAGGGCTAACGGAAGAGTGTTCGCGTTGAAGGTACATTAGAGCAAGGACTCTAGTACACTTTGTTGAGAAATAGCGACATTCAGATTAGCTCTGCTTGTATCATAATCAAGATTTGCCTGTGAATGTTTATTTCAGGTGATCAATAAAAAGCATGTCATGGATATGAAACAAGAGAAACATGTGTTGTCAGAGAGGGACATCATGCTTTCGAGTGATTCCTCATTCATAGTGAAGTAAGGGAATGAATGTTTTCAACCCATTGACGACCATCACGTTTGGCGTCAAACGCGGACTGCAGTCCACATGGGGACTGCATTGTCCTGGGCCACCAGTTTTTTGAATTTTGAATTGGGAATTGTTTAATTTTTTCTGATTTCGTAAGTTTAGGATATGACTAACGATGATGGTAGGTGGGACTTGAATTTTAGTCAGCTCCTGATGGATTCTGATGAGGAGCAGTTCCTCAAACACTAATTCTTTTCAGAAAAAAAAATCATAAAAGGGTCACATGATTTTCAAAAAAAACACCGATGTGGTGTAAAACTATCTAACTTAGTGCGGGCTAAAATTTAAATATGATGTCTATGTTTCTTGTTATTATCTGTAAAATTGCAAAATTAGAAGATTTCTTGGCACCACACAGTATATAGTTTACCTTAGACCTGATCTTATGTTTTGACAAGAAAGATCGTTAAAAAGTGGCGATATAGGTAAACAAAATAAAATATACAACTGCAGTCCACATGTGGACTGCGTGGTCGTCAATGGGTTAATAAAAAGGTGTAATCCCATGGATCAATAGTACTGGTCTGACTGACCTTATAGGGATTGAATACTTGTCGAACAATTGGCGAATCAATGTCGGGTAAATCGCCATTGTTGCAGGCTCTACAAGACTTTCAAAGACAAAGAGAAGCTGTATATGCTCATGGAACCGTGTCTTGGAGGTGAACTGTGGTCTTTGCTCAAAAGGAGGTCGAGAATTGATTCCTTCATTTCGCACTCAGACCAGCCCGCTCTACATTGCTTCTGTGAAAGAAATGAGGTCATCGCTTCAGAGTAGTTATTTAGAGGTCGATTCGAGAACGAAGCGGCGCGTTTTTATTGCGCAGCGGCACTTGAAGCACTCCAGTACCTTCACGATAGGAATATTGTCTACCGGGATTTGAAACCGGAAAATATATTACTCGATAAGAATGGATATCCAAAACTGGTTATATTTTTATTGTTCTTAGATGGTCGTGAAGTAGCGTATTAACAACAAATTTCAGGTCGATTTCGGTTTTGCGAAACGTTTAGGCACTGAAGGCCGCACGTGGACATTTTGTGGTACAGCTGAATACGGTAATTTCATGGACTTTTTAACGCTGCACTTCATAGTTATAGGGTCACCTTCAAATTTCGCACTTTCAGAAGAAGCAATCATTTAGGATTTTTTCTAGCATCATGAATAATTGTCCCTCCCGCACGAATAATTGTAAGATCACCCTGAGAAAGTGAACAACTACTCATAGAAGAGAAGAAACTCTGTCTTTCATGATACTTATAAAGGTAAGCATGTGTAGCAAAAACATCTCTGAAACTGGCTGTCAATATGGCTCTGGTCGTCTGCTCCATCTCATGAGATGGCTCAAATTCGGGCTCTTCATGAAGCTGGGCTTAGTGAGCGAGCCATCTCGAGGCATATAGGGAGATCTCCCTGCTCCATCCCAAGATTTTTGGAGAGCCTTGATGTCCCTAGATGTAACACCAGCTGTGGACCCCCACGCAAGGTTATTGCCCGTGACGAGCGGAAGATTCTGAGGGCTTCTTCCAACAGTACGTCCTCCTTAAACCAGGGCCGATCGAAATCAAACCTCTGTGTCGAAAACTATAGTCTGGAGAGCAGTAAGAAGATGCGAGAACATCACCAGGCAAGCAAAGGAGAAGGCGCCAGGGTCACCGATCGCCACAGAGAGGCTCGACTCGATTTGCAAAGGTGAACCTAGGGAGAGATTGGGCAAAGGTAGGTTTGCATCAAAATCTAACCATACAGCTGAATAATTTCCATTCAGGCCGTCTCTTCGGATGGAAATAAATTCAACTTGGACGGACCTGACGGAAACAAGTACTACTGGCGCGACTTGAGGAAGGAACCACTCTACTTCAGCCGTCGCAACTTTGGTGGAGGAAGCCGTATGGTGTGGGGTGCATTCGGCAATGATATCGTGCTGGATTTAGCCTTCGTGAGCTGCAGGATGGATTCCAAGGATTACCAGAACGTCTTGGAGCACCAAAACGTACCCTGTCTAAGCCGTCGCCGTCACCCCAGCTTTCCTTTAACAAGACAACGCCACCATTCACGTGAGCCGTGTAACGAATGAGTGGCTGCAATGCCAAAACGTAAGCGTTCTGCCATGGCTAGCCTGCAGTCCCGATCTCAGNCCGATGGCATAATGGTTGGACAGGCTTATACGAATAACCGTCAGAAGAGCTGAAGCAGGCGATTGTGGAAGCATGGAGAGCAGTCGATGAGGAACATCTTCGAAACCTAGTTTCTAGTATGCCACGCAGGCTCTTTGGTGTTGCTCTTAAACAGGCGTTGCTCTTAAACAAGGAAGAGCTGCAGATTGTTAACTATTACATGTGCCTTCAACATTAGTAAATCATTCACTTTTTCGAGGTTAACCTTATGGTTATGAAATGGTGTAAAAACCGGCACTGTCTTCAAAAACTCATAAAAGGATGTTTAACCCATTGACGACCATGCAGTCCATATGTGGACTGCACTTTTTCGGCGACATGGAACCGTGCAGTCCACATGTGGACTGCAGTTGTATTTTTTGTTTTATTAACCTAAATTTCCATTTTTTTTTTACAATTTTTCTTCTCAAAACATTACATCAGGCCTAAAGAAAACTACATACAGCGTGGTCCTAGAAGAACTTCTCTAATTTTGCAATCGTAAAGGTGTTTTTTCGAAAGGGTACATTGCCTTGGCGAATTTTTCGTTCGTTGAACAACCTCGAAAAATGAGATATTATTTCAAAAATACGGTAGTCATTAGCATTTTCGCTGTTATCGACCAAATGCAAAGCTCGTAAAAGTTCCCGAAACGATTTCTGGAAATGATTGAACACATAATTGAATGACCACTAGAACGAACGCCGTTTCTATAATGAAAATCAATAATCACTCGAAGTGGGCATTCTTACCAATCCCATTTGAAGGAACATTCCGAAAAACATTTAATTTCTCTTATAAACTTCAAAAAATGGTCATGCTGGACCATGAAGTCCACATATGGGCTGCAGTCGCGAGTTGACGAAAAGCGCGCCGGTCCCTCGCGGCGCTTTTCCCGCAAAACGTCATGGTCTTCAATGGGTTAATACTGCTTTGCCGTACAGGTTTCTTATGGCTGTACCAATATGGTTTCGACTGACTCGTCGTCTTCAGGACCTGAAAATAGTTCGAAACTCCTGATCTGCGACTTACCCGACCAAGCGCCCAAACGCGCTAGGCTAGTTGCAACGACTCCCTGTAACTAAGACATGGAAAAGTTCCCAGCAAAATCTCCCAGCTTTTTTTTCGATACGATAGAGTAAAATGGAGTAAAATGTTCTTCGAGCTGCTTTTTCGATACCACTTCACATTATGTGAAGTGGTATCGAAAAAGCAGCTCGAAGAACATTTTACTCCATGCAAAATCTGCCTACCCTGGAGCTGTAAAATGTGCAGTTACTCGTAATATGTATGTTCAAAATAGCGACAGGAGTTTGTACAGGCGAAGTGGAACGAGAGAAGTCACGTAAACTAGCATCTGAAATAGCAAAGTTGAATGGTTGGTTGTGGGGCACAACATGGAAGATCTGTCTCGAAAAGGCATTTTCCAGGAAGTCCTGAGAATATGCTGTATCTTCGGCTTCCTTTCATATCGGAAAAATTAGCGCAGAAATCAGGAAGTGCATAGCACGCGCGGATTTGGCCGATAAATTTGCCCTGATAAACCTACCAAGAGGCAATATGAAACATCAACTAATCCGCAGTAGACTTTACGACCGTGCATGTTCTACGGAAAACTGCGTCATTTGTCCGTTTGGAAAAACGGAGATTGCACACAGCGAGGGACGGTTTATCAACTTCGGTGTTCAGTCTGTGACGAAATATATATTGGTGAGACAGGAAGGATGCTCGGCATACGTGTCAAAGAACATCTGGCAGGAAAAATGCGTGGAAGTCTACTAACAACACTTGGGAGGCACCGACTAGAAGGACATCGAGACAATGATTCCGACATTGAATGTAAAGTCCTAGCCTACGAGAATGAGATCGGTGACAGAAAGATACTGGAAGCGTTACATATTCGCACGAAAAATCCGAGCCTGAACAACCGAAATGAGTGCTTGGCCATAACGAGTAAACTCTTGCCGTTCATTCCCTTCTGTGCACTTTGAGATCACCCGCATAATTCTTATTTTAGATCATCAATGATGTCTCATTGATTCCTTGTTATTCACATAGAGTAGGACGTAACGCTGGTGGAACGGCAGAAAATTGGTCTTTTTGCTGGAAGTTTTCCACGTTTTAGTTTACGGGATTCGTTGCAACTAGCCTAGCGCGTTCGAGCGCTTGGTCGGGTAAGTCACAGATTAGGAGCTTCGAACTATTATATTTTCAGGTCCTGAAGACGACGAATCAGCGCTGACCAATAAAACGGTTCAGCCATAACAAACCTGTACGGCAAAGCAGCATTCAACATTATGCAAAGTGCCCAGGCTTCAAGAAAGCCGAACTTGGGAGTTGTTACTCATAAGAGTTGAGGTGAAGGGTGTTGCGACCAAAATTTGAATACGGAGGTACATTGTGATGATGGATCTGCCAGTGTTTACCTAAAACTTCCACTCTGGCTGCTTTCTCCAGAATCGCAAAAATCGAGGGTGACCTTCAAATTATGAAACACACTGTGTTGGCGAGGATTAGTTTGGGTAGTATGTGTTCGCGTTCCAGTGTGGCATAAACGCTCACTGACTGTTTGCCACTCGTAGGAGTCATTTATTCACGCATAGGTCTGTAGGTGGTTTCTCCCCTAACTCCCACGGTCGCTGGTTTTTCAGTTGTCTTGACTTTGAACCTATCCGACCCGCCTAATCGGTAGAGCCCATTTTCCTTTGCCTGCTTTGTTTCCTTGCTTTCGATTAATATTTCCAATCCTTGTTTTCGTGTAGTATAACTCGTGTAATAGGGTATTAAAGAAACAAGGTTTTACAAAGACAAACCAATTGCATGCAATCATCTACCAGAAGTATGAGTCACACACTGTGCGCTGTAATCACAACCATCGCATTTCTACGATACGAAGCGGGTGCGGCTGTGGCGACACAAACTATGGGACGGGACGGTACATTCGTACGATTCGAGTTTCGCGGCAAAGTTCGTGGTCATTCGAAAGGCCCTGTCGCCTATTATTGGGGCACAAACTTGAAGTAGAGTGGATCAGTATGGTAATCCTATTAATCTACTTTACTGCGAATTTGGGCCCCAATAATAGGCGCTAGATTCATCAGGATCGCTATGAATTTCGCCGCGCCAATTGCCGCGCGCAGCTCGAATCGCACGAATGTACACACACCCACTATGGGAAGAAGATCCCAAACCCGATTGTATGAGGTCCCATTCCCTAACTGATGTGTGCTGAGTTTCGCTAAATCGGAGAACCAAGTTATGAGAACTCAGTATAAATATTAATTCTCATGTATGTATGTACCTTTTAAACATGTAAGTACGAAATAGCAGCTATGGGTAACGTGGGCATGAGGCACGACTTGATTAGTCAGTTGACGCATATTAGCCAGTGGGTGTTTGTAGAGTGAGGGATATAGTAGAAGTCGAAGTTTTACAAAATATACTCAGTTTGAAATTTCTTGTTTCCATATTCTTTCACCACTTTAGAAAGCATTCTTACACTTTTTGGATGTTTCTCAATTTTTTGTCTATTCTGCAGAATTAGCGCTTGGTTTCAGTGCCACCAGAAACCGTTCTCAACAAAGGTCACGACACTTCAATGGATCTTTGGGCGTTGGGCATACTGTTGTATGAACTGCTTAGTGGAGCGTGAGTTATTGGGCAGCCATGTTTAGCTCTGGAATTGTTTACAATGTGAGAATGAGAATTTGTTTCAGGCCACCATTCTCAAATTCTGATCCTTTAGTAGTTTACAATGCGATTTTGGGAGGATTCGGAAAATGGGCATGGCCGAGGTAGCTCTTTAACTTTTTTTGAACTTGTGAGTCCTTAGCCATGACACTAGCATTTTAAACTTCAGATATTTCACCAAGCAAGCGACCGAGTTAATCCTATCGTTGTGTAAGGAAGACCCAGACTTACGTCTGGGCTATGGACATCTCGACGACGTTCGTGGGCACCCGTGGTTTGATGGATTCGATTTTGCAGAATTTCGTCTCGGTAAATTGAAAGCACCGATAGTGCCGGTGGTGAGTGTGCTATCATTAATGAGGTCCGTTGAATTTGGTAAATACAAACTATGAAGAAAAAAGTTCTCTGGTGTCAATCAATCCCCTCGAAGGGATGCCCCCTGAATTCGACTTACATTCAAAATCGTTGTGGCATTTTGAGTGCGTATGTGGCCCATACATACAATGTCTTGCGCAGTTGCCAGCCGATGTGTAAGCAAGTGCTTTAATGCTCGTGAGGCTGGTACCAATTAAAGGCACAATTCACGATTATTTTGGGTAATCCAGATTGTGACGAAAAATGGAAGATAAGGTGGAAAATAGTGCGATGAATGTGGAGGGACGCGTGTTTGTTTTGTTTTTTTTTTGTTCATCGGTGTTTCCAAAGTGAAAAAAGGCTTCGAAAACGTTGAACAGGGTCCTGGACGAGGGTGAGGCCAGAAAAATGAAGTTTGGGCCGTTTGGACGAGCTATACAATGTGTGTGATTGCGTACGTGGGTCCTGCTGCGGATAACAGACTATAGTAAGCAAAAATTTACTTACAAGCATAAGTAAACAAAAAAACCTTAGTAACAGCAAAAGTAGCTCACCTTTTTCAGCGTCTAGGAGTAGGAAATTAAATAAGGTATCGCGCCTGCAACAAGTATGTCAGAGGAAAAAAGAATGGGAGAAAAATATCACCTCATCACTCGGTCAACAGCTGATTGTATGTGGGTCCTAGAACGAATTCTCAACGGGACTGCAATCTGTATTGTCTCGACACTCGTCTGACCGTCTGACGTGACATCTATCGAAAGGCGGGAAGGCCACTGACGTTCCCGCTCATTGAATTATCGTGAACTGTGCCTTTAACCGATCCTGGGGGGATGGGCGGCTTGGTTGGCTTGGGCGAATATCCATTCGGGATTCGAACCTGTGACCATGCGTGGATGATAGTGAGCCACTTGCCACTGCACCACCTCTAACCTGACTTGGTAAATACTACGTCTGAGTGAGCTAAGTCCTTGCTCTCAGATCAAGATTGTCTGAAAACTTGCATTAGATCTATTCCGTCATAGATTATGTGCTTCACATATACAACTATTCCGCTTCGATACTCATTAGAAAGAAAACTCATTTTATCGCTGCAGTTCCGCTTTCACTGCTTTCCAAATTTCTCTATTCTTTATGGTTGATAGTAACCACAGTTTACATCAACGCTTTTCCCTCACCCGATTTCAAAGCATGGAGTTGTACCTTCCTAACCTCATCCCATCCTATACTCCATTTCCCGGTCTTCACTGGTGTTGTGCGCATGCGACTTTCCTAGAACTTTTTTCGCGCAATGTTGGCAGTGCATCTTTAGTCATTCCTGCAGAGAGGAGAGCCAGGAAGGGCGCAACAATTTGAAAATTGGAAATGATTGCATTCAAAGTCTAATCTGTTAGCCGGTTCAACCTAAACCCAGAGCAAAAAGTGACCGCTAGAATTTTCCTGCCGCTGCTGCATGGTGTTATTTTTTGCTTTGCTTCAACCTGTCTGTTCTTTTAGTTATAACGTTGAGAATGTGGTTGAATGGGACATTCATTTTCGTGCCCTTGTATGCGCTATCTCAGTGACCTAGTGTCCGATTAGCCAATTCGCAGTCCAACATGTCGCACGGAGTCAGAATCGCACTATGCCATACTCCTCCTCTGTGAGTCATTTGATTTGTACTAAGAACACTGATTCCCCGGCTCAGAACTTCTTAGCACTCTTACAGACCCGCAAAGGCCATGATTTACGTATCACGAAAACATTGCTTTAACAGACCCATGTAACTTGCCATTCAACACATTTTCAGGTTGTTCAAAGTGTCCCTCCGGCCTTGTTCCTTCTCTCATCTATATCTATTAAGTTTTTTACTCATCATCTTTTAAGTCAGCTTACTCTCCGCGATGTAGAGCGGCGGTTGATCCATTATTATTCGAAATACAGTCGGCGCATTAGATCGCTGAAAGCGAAACCAAACACATTGGTTAAACCACAGAAAAAAATCACTTCATAGCGGCGGCGAAGAAATCCTCGCGGTCGATTTCCCAGGGACAAGATGGGTATGATGGGTACATTCGCCCACGCTCATTCGGAGTGCACGCGTCGAAATTCGTCTCGATTCGGACGACTGTGGTCTTATCATAAGGGCGCGTGTTCGATGTGGCAAACGATTATATTACGATCAGCTGATCGTAGGGCAGGACCTCAAGTTCAGAGTAATAGCAATTCCATACATTTTGCTGATTTAGTGAGTGGAGGTGGTGTACTGGCAAGTGGCGCACAATCACACACTCATGGTCAGGGGCTCGAATCCCGGATCGGTACCGGCTTAAGCCGAGCTTTCACTCTGGGTGGTGAAGATTCGTTTGGGAGGGCAAAAGCACTGGCTTGTACATCGGCTGGCCACTGTAAGTCGTTGTAAAAGCCACATACGTATCCAATACGCCACTGCGATTCTGAATGAAAGTCGAATGCATGGGCGCATAGCTCAGACGGGATTGATTAACGCCCAAGACTTGATCTTTTTACACTCTGGACTAATTTCTTGAATAACAGGGAAGAAGGTAAAGCAAAGAGAGGGAGGGAAAGGAGAGAAGCCGAAGCTATCGCCTACTCACCATCAGGTGATCGCAATGATGTGCTCTACGGAGTCTTCCAAATCGCCACGCATTTCTCCGCATGCATCTGCTCACGGGCGATTGTTTCGCCCCCGAGAACTTTTATTCCTTCACGGGTAGCCCATCACATATGGACACTCAATAGAACCAATGTCCATTGTACCAACAACATGCTGCTACTTGTCCTATTTTTTGGTCACCCCGTGCGGAAGTTGCTACAGAATTGATCTTTTTTTCTTTTTAGTGTTCGCCTCTACTAACGGGTTTTTAGATTAACTCAGATGTGGATACGGGCAATTTCGACACTGTTCCTTCAAGCGACTCATTTGCTACGGGTTACGACGAGTCTGGCTGGGATTTTGAATTCTAATTTGAGCTTCTACCTCTATCATTGTACATATTTGATTGCCTGTGACATTGTTTTATGTGCCATATTGTATAGAATTTCATCGCAAGGTTGTTAAATTAGTGACTGCAAGTAACTCTACCGTAGAGATTATCTTTTCTTTTTTTAAACCGCATCAAGGGAATAAAGAATTCTCTCGTTTGTTCGTTCAGGACTGACCAGTTGTGGCCTTTATTGGAGCGACTGCCCACTGGCGTCGTACATTTTCATGATTTTGCTAGCACTGTTTCATGTTGATATGTTTATATACATATATATTGATATAATTTTCTGGAATTTCTTATTGTAAGTTTGTTACCAGATGATCTTCAAACAATAGACAATAACAATAACATCATAATCATCATTCTTTATTGTTTGGATCATTGTGCACAGCCACAACCTTAGTTGAAATACTTGTCTTCGTAGGTTTTTGGGCATACTTTTTAAAATATGACTAATCGAGCAGATTTTCTAGGAAAAACGGGTAATCCCGCGTTTTCCCGCCAAAGTTAACCAATTTTTGATCTTTGAGAGTTCGTTATTTCCCACTTTGTATATGATCGTTTCTGAGGAATTCATAACTCTTTGAATATTGATTCTCCTTTACCATTTTCATTTGCCAACAGCTTATTTGTATTTTAAAAGCTAAGCTCACGTTGAGACTCGGAAATCTGACCATAATTTACAAAAAACCATGATGCGCTTAAAACAACATGTTCACAATTTTGGTATTAATTCTTTTTAAAAAGACTCGAACTTAATTGGAGAAGGTCTCAATGTTCTATTTCTCTTCTTGAGAGAGCATGGCTGATTGTCACTATCAGGAAGGGCGCAACAACGTGCACAACTCAGACTTTTGCCAAAGTTTCAGGCAGAGAGCAATATAAGTCGTAATATATACTTCGGAAACGAGTTTGTTTCATCACACAGTCAAGTTAAGTTGTGAGGCGAAGAACTACATAGTTCCGCCGAACAAAAATCGTCTGACTATTTACCGCGTCTAGTTAACTCCCTAGTCAAGGACTTATACAACAGATCTAGAACAGCCACACATCCAACTTACATTTAGTTCACGACTCAATGACACAATGGATGGTAGTGCCGATTTCGTGTGAAATAATGGACGTTAGGTGGAAGGTAGTGCAAAGGTGGCGAAGAAAGCGCGAAAACCTGCGGAATTTTTAGAAATTTCAGGCTCTTAAAAATAGTAATAAAAAGGGGTTGTGCAGAAGCGCGACGATTGGCATTGGAGGGATGTCTAGATGAGTTCAATTGCCGCAATAGCGTAAAGAGCTGTAGAGGTTAAAAATGGCTGCTTTTATAGTCCGCCGGCCGGCCGGCGTGGAGGCAGTGCTAGCGGGGAGGAGGGAGGCAGACGGATAGGCAAACAGTCCACGCCCCTTCGAGGGGTTGAAAACAAACAACCTTCGAAGGGGCGTGGACTGTTTGCCTTACACTGTCTGCCTCCCTCCTCCCCCCTAGCACTGCCTCCGCCGGCGGACTATGAAAGGACTATGAAAGCAGCCAATGGCAAAAATCTTACCCATAGTATTGACGACACAGTTCATGGCATAGAAACTGTTCCCTTGAAAAAGGAAAAGGAGATGTGGATCGGAGGCTCTGTATTCATAAATGCGTAAGTAACCGTCAGGGTATCTTACACATAATCGTACTGTTCGCTGGCATCCTAACGCTTCATCATAAATGGTGCAGCCAATTACGACCCTCATAAGACAGCCACTTTCGGGTGTGTGTAGGCCCTCGACCTGGCCTTAGCCCATGACTTGGCAGTCTGCAGCAACTTCTTCGCGAAAAGGAAACTCAGAAGGTAACCTACAGCAGTGCAGGGAAAGGAACGGATATAGATCAGTGCTCGTAAGAAGATCGCCCCTCAGAGCTGTAAAAGACATCAAGATACTGTCTGGTGAAAAACTGGCTACGCAGCACAGCTTCTATCAGACATAGCCATAGAACTCCCTAAGAAATCGAGGACAAGAACATAGCGGAGGATCCGGTGGTGGAGGCTGCACCAAGCCGAAAGAAAAAACCCAAACGTAAGATACTTGAAGCTGGTCTCCCAGATCCTAAAGGGCCGATCCAACAGACCTGGAGTAATACCCTGAAAGCCATCCTACGATGTGCGAGGGAAACGCTGGTAGAGACTGGAGATGGATTCCGAAGAGAATGGAAGCATGGGTCTGGAACGATGAGGTCCAGCACGTCGTGAAACAAAAGAAAGCGGTCTATAAGCGGTGGCAGAAGACGCGAGCTCCACAAGACCTAGTTGCCTCAGAACTTCTAAGAGGGTCGCCAAGGCTGCCATAGCGAAAGCAAAGAATACGGATATGGATGCCTTGTACGAGAAACTCGATAGCCGGGGGAGAGAGAAGCTCGTCTTCCAACTGGCGAATGCGCGGCACCGGTCTACTCAAGAATCGGGGTGATGACATCCGTTAAGAACGCGGAGGGAGCAATGCTGAGGAACTCTGGGGAGGTCAGGCATAGGTGGAAAGAATACTTCGCCAGGCTCCTAAACGAAGAATTTGCCCGCGAGAACAGCTCCGAGTTAGAGGCGACAACTGGTCTCATCGAACTCTGGACAGAGGACGAGGTGCGTAGGACAATCGAGAAAATGAAGGCTGGGAAAGCAACTGGTCTGGATGGGGCCCCCATCGAGGCATGGAAGGCGCTTGGAGAGCACGGAATTAAGTGACTCACCCGATTTCTGTACACTGTGACCAATGAAGGAAGCATCCCAGATGCGTGGAGGAGCAGCACCAGTGTTCCCATATTCAAGCGGAATTGGGACACGATGGAGTGTTCCAACTAGAGGGGCATCAGGCTGACTGCTCACACAACGAAACTGTACTAGACTCAAGATTGAGGAAACTCGTCCAGATCTCACGAGAACAGTTCGGCTCCATGCCAGAACGGTCTACAATGCATGCTGTCTTCATAGCAGACAGGTAATGGAGAAGTATCAAGAAAAGTGTATACCTTGCTACCTGGCTTTCCTCGATCTGGAGCAGGCCCTCGATGGTCTCCCACAACAGGTTCTTTGGAGCAAGGAGCAATGGCAGAAAATGCTGGAAGAAGACCAAGTTCCTCAGGTCCGAGGAGTGCACAGAGCCAGAGAGACGGTCTCGAGGAAGTCATTAAAAGAGTACAGGACACCCGGAATCTGGGGAGTGATCTAGCCGCTGATGATAGCCTGGACCAGGCTGTGAAATCTCGGGTAAACGCGGCACGGATGAAGGGGAGGGAGTCCACTGGTATCCTCTGCGACCGCCGGTTCTCCGGGGCACTTAAAGGAAAGGTGTACAGGACAGCGGCCAGGCTCGTGATGATCTACGGCAGTGAGTGCTGGTCCGTGGGAAGGAATAATGAAAGACAGCTCCACTACAGCTGAGATGAGGATGCTCAGGTGGGCCTGCGGCTGGACGCGACGGGACCGGATCAGAAACGAGGACGCAGAGCGGTCATAGGCTGCTTTCATAGTCCGCCGGCGTGCCGGCATGCCAGACGAGGTAGTGCTGGGGGAGGAGGGAAGCAGACAGTAGGTCGACGCAGTCGCGTCGCGCCCAAGCCCCTTCGAAGGGTTGAAAACAAAGAAAAACAAGACCAGAAACCATTTGCACAAGCCTTTGGTTGTTTGGTTTTTGACCTTGTTTTTCTTTGTTTTCAGCCCTCCGAAGGGGCTCGGGCGCGACGCGACTGCGTCGACCGACTGTCTGCCTCCCGCCTCTCCCCTAGCACTACCTCGGCTGGCACGCCAGCTCGCCGGCTCGCTCGTCGGCACGCCTGCACGCCGGCGGACTATGAAAGCAGCCATACAAGTAGACCCTGTACAGTTGAAAATGAGAGAACAGCGCCTGCGATGGTACGAACGCGCAATGAAAAGATCACCGAACCATCCAATAAAGGAGGCAATGGAGTTCGAAGCACAAGGGAAGCGACCGCGAGGAGTCCCAAAGAAGAGATGGCGGGACGTAATCAATATGGACCTCGCCGAAGCTGAGGTAACGGCAGAAGATGCTGTAAATAGAACGAAATGGAGGCCGCTACAAGAATAGCGGACTCTGCGAGCACGCGGGATTGAGCTAGAAGCTTCAAGAAAATGGTCACAAGGGACCTCAAAGAAGAAGTGGCGGGATGTGATAAAGCTGGACTCAATCAAAGTCTGGGCTACAGCAGAAAATGCTTAAGGTAGAAGGAAATGGTGACGATTGGAAGAACAGGGTTCCTCGTATGGAGAAAAAACCGTACGCAAAAACTTGATTCCAGATTTAAACTATTTGCAGTAGCACGAAATCAAATTGGGGATGGTGATCATTTCATTCGCGTAGACATTTAGGGACCATTTGATTTCCACGAGAGCCTGAAAGAAATCGAGCATGTACTCGAGTTCCAAAGCTGCTTGAAATATGAGCTGATGTTGGTATGTTTGGCACCTTTTCGATCAGAGAAGATACAAGATCACCACACTCTTTACTCCGACAATATTGCTTAAATAGCGAATAGTAGAGAAGAATCTTAGGACCATTTAAAGAACGACCAGAACGTAGTGAGAATGGGCTCTGGGTGAATTAGTTATAAACCGTGGTCTCAATCTTGAGCATCAGAGTCAATTGCGCAACTAGACTGCTCTGGCGAATGCGTTGAAGGACTTCAAGATTTCGATATCTGCTGTGCTGTAAAAGCTTGAATAAACATTGCGCAGATGAAGTGAAGAGTGTTTGGAGGTATCTTCTGCGATCAGCGGTGCTTCAGGAGACTCAAAGGTAAGGTATACCGTATAGCGGTGAGGGACACGACTGCAGGGTGTGCTAGCCAAGGATCCCAAAAGTGCAGCTCCAATAGGCCGAAACAAGAAAGTTTAAATGTTCCAATGGTTGGGAGCGGAAAAAGTGTTCCAGGATGTCTATGCAAACAGCGCCTTACCGGTCAGTGATGATAATCAGCGCGATGGTATTGACACCTACTGGGAAGACCATAAGGTCAGTCGTCAGCAGAAGCAATGGAGCTAGAAGCTTCAAGAAAATGGTCCCAAGGGACCTCAAAGAAGAAGTGGCGGGATGTGATAAAGCTGGACTTAATCAAATTCTAGGCTACAGCAGAAAATGCTTAAGATAGAAGGAAATGGCTACGATTGGGAAGAACAGAGTGCCTCGTATGGAGAAAAAACCTTATGCAAAAACTTGATTCCAGAGTTAAACTATTTGCAGTAGAACGAAATCAAATTGGGGATGGTAATCATTTCATTCGCATAGACATTCAGCGACCATTTGTTTTTCACGAGAGCCTGAAAGAAATCGAGCATGTACTCGAGTTCCAAAGCTGCTTGAAATATGAGCTGATATTGGTATGTTTGGCACTTTTTCAATCACTGCGCTTTAACGTGTTCAAAAGAGCCAGGTCATGCTACCATTTTGATCTGGAGATTCGATATCGTTGCGTGGTGTACGCAATATTCGGCACACTTCATACCATGCCTCCTCCAGTTGGCATGCTGTTTTGGAATGCGTTCTTTTCCTCATTAGCCGACCCATTAGCCGTATCCATCCATTCATTTACTTATTCCATCAATTATGAAAACACTTTTTGTCTCCATCAATATTTCCTTCTAAAAATCAGATCCCTCGCGTACTTTTCTATAGCTTTCATTTTCTTCCGTAATACGTCTTCACTTGATGTTTCTTTGATTGCTGTTTAACTTTAGGCGATCCACCATTAAGATCATGCCCCTTGGAGGAAAGGCCGTGAATCAGCATGTAGATACCACAGATAATAGATTAAGTTGGCATATTCTTTTCGGTGGAAATGTAGTGTAGTGTGGGGATGCCAGAGCCCTTTTGTGCTCTGCATCTTTTTGAAAGTTAGGAGAGGAGCTTCGGGGTGGGAGAGATGATTATCTCGTGCAAAAAGCTGGGATGAGGTAAGAATTGGACACCCAACTGATTCACCGACCCCGAAACTCCTTCCCTAACTTTTAGAAGGGGAGGAGCTCCGGGATGGATGAGATGATTAGATGGGGTAAGAAAAGAAGAGACGCAGAGCACAAAAGTGCCTTGCACCCCCAAATACACTTTCGTCTTCTCTTCAATACCTTCCAGCAAACAAGTGTTTTCACCTATATTAGCAACATCATGAATGAAACCTTGGGTAGTGACCATGTGGGTATGATCAGAACTCAGAGTGTTGCATTTTAAAAAACCACGTCAGAAACTTGTGATATCGAAGGGACGAACTGCTTGTTCTTCATAATTTTTTTTTGAGCACAAAAAATTGTCGATCAAAAGGTCCGAAGCCAGCGGAATGGAGGACTATTCGGGTTGCTCTACATATTTGGTGGAGAGCGGAGAAAGCAACTTGGGGGCACGCGTTGTCATGAAGCAGGTGAATTGCCGTTACGCTTTTTTCAAAAAGTCGCGGCTGGCTCGTACAGTTGCGTAGCGCTCGTCATCGATTTCAGTATCACTTGAGGGAAACCTTGTTACGTGCTGCTTCTGATTGACCTGCGTTAGCGAATGTTTTCCTCGGAGGATTCAAAAAGCACGGCGATTGAAGTTCTTGTAGGAGATCTAAGACTCGTTCACAGTTTGCCGCACGAACTTCCGAATATCCAAAAAAAGTGTACAGACAAAGACTGACACACCCATTGCGCAATAGGTGGCCGACAAGTATTTTGCTCCATTAGGAAAGAACCATCCTTCAGCTCGGGCCATGAATCCTGTCGCGAGGAAGGTTTTGCGCACTCAGAGATTGACTGCCATTGTACAGGTCTATGGGAGCCTGGTATCGCTCGAGAAGGCTAGACAGCTGGTCGCTAATGTTGAGAGTAGAACCTCACTTCGTGTTTTGTGAAGCGATTGTGCCACTCGGTGGCCGTCTGATTTGAGACGCATAAAGTGCCGAGCCGAACACACCGTTGATTTCATCGGCCACTCTGCGAGGAGGAGGAGTGTCGAGGTAGAGCTGCTCGTCACTCTCGCTGGGAACTGATTCTCTCGGCGCTTTTGTGTAGGTTTCACACAGTAGGTTCCAGAACCCTCAAGCATAATTCATTCTTTACTTTTTGGGAACCAATCAGTGTCCGTTGTAATGCCGAAGAGCTACAAAATAACTCTAGCAATAGCTAAATTGTCATCACAATTCCTTTCTGCTGCCGGTCTACAAGTCTTCCGATTTGCCTTTGAGTTTTTCTTTATAGACTAGAATTTCACGAACACAGAGAAAATTGACCGGAACAGGGATGTGGTTCGTGGATAGGGGTGTATAGAGTTATGGGATTTGCAAGAGGGCAGTGTTAGGTACTGAGCTTGTTCCACGAATTTTGCGATAGCGTTATCAGTTCTCCTGAAGTTTTTTCAGATAGAAACGTTATCAGTTCTCTAAGAACTTTTTTTCTGGACAGAGGGTATGCACCAGAGAGTAGCTAGCAATGGATCATGACATCTGCTCTCTCTTAGACCAGTTGGCTGTGCATGTAGGCGGGTTCACGTTATTGCACTTACGATCTTTATCCTTCATGCGTTGCTGCGACGTGTCTCGTGACGCTACCTTATAATAATCAGTATTTCAGACAAGACATCCGCTTCGGAGGTAGCTAGTGGTCGGAGATGGCAATAATAAATTTTTGAGCAACATCAAATTTCTTTGACGTATTCACATCCAACTTCTTTATGACTATTTTTCCAAATAGCCTACTTCAGAGGCACAGCTCACGATAAAAATGAATTCTGAACGTCACATTTCTCCCTGGGATAAACCCCCAAGGGTAGCACAAATACGTAGGTTGCCTTTTATATTTCGGGATTTGAGAACAGGAACAAATACTATTTATTGAAAATTGCTTAACTGCCTTTCAAAATTCTCCACATTATGATCTATACACTTTTGCCTGGGCTCGAACCGATTTTCGAAGCACTTTTGCCACTCTGATTAAGGTAACTTTAAAACATGCATTGCGAACGAAACAACGGCTTCTTCAGGTGTCCAAAAACGTTGACCTCTCATTTTATTTTTTACGTACGGGATGAGTAGAAGTCACCCGGGGACTACATGGCTGATGACCTGTCAAATCGTTGTTTTGAGTGCTCAAAAATGCAGTTGTTTGAGCCGATGTGTGGGAGCTCACATCGTCGTGGCGAAGAGTGGTCCGTCTTCAGCAGTTGGTTTTCCTGATTTTTTAAAAGTCAACTGGCAAACAAATGGTGGTATACCACTCAGAATTGACTGTTCCGCTTGTTCTAGTGGTACGGTTGCGACATGTCGAGTTTTTCCAAAAAAAAAAAACAGTAGATCAATTACTCGTAAGTGCTTGGTGCGCGGACAGCTTTTGTTGGACTTGGCTCATCTTGAAATACCCATACGGTCGACTGCTATTTACTTTCGGGCTCATACGCTAACTCCATGATGTCGTACCTGTCTCGATGTCGTAGACGTGCTTCGAAGCACCGCGATCGTATTTTTCAAAGGCACTGTTCACGAAAAAATGGTTTCGGAGATTTGCACATGGTTTGAATTCGAAGCCCCCTCTGATNCGCCCCTCGCTAGGCTGACTACGAGTTCAAATTGTCCTTCACCACATTCGCACTGGAGCGAAGTTGGTGAAAAATCGATACGCTGACTGGCAAATTGCCAGGAATGCTCAGCTGGTCGACCGCCTCGTACAGAAGCTCGTATTTAGCTGTCATTTCTATTATTCTACTATTATTCTGCGCTATTCTCTTCTGAGTATTCCCTGCCTGCCGTCGTCGAATGGATGAGGTAAGTATTTCAGGGGGATAATAATAGCAGGGAGAAATCCGATCAGCTGTTTGGGTGTGTTGTCTGTATTGCAGACATTGCGTCGCCTTCGTGCATTCTCGCCCGAACACTCCCTAACCGCCGTTATTTCAGTGTGAGACTAGTCCAACCCCCTTTCCAGCTCTTTTTTGACCCTTTCTATTTCTTTTTGTTCATCGTTTTTTGCGCTTTTTCCGTTGTTATCGCTTTATTCTAGAGTAGTTCTATCAATTCCCGTCAAAAAAGGGTACCCTAACTTTTTTGTGAACGGTGCCTTCAAGCATTTCTCTCGACCAATCGACACGAGTCCCTTTTTTGGGGGATTGACAATTTTTCAAAAACAGTTTTTTTTTACAGTCGAATGTTCATGCAAAATTGAATGTAAGCTAGTCCCACTAGTGCCTAAGGTTGCCTCGATCTCACGATAGGTCGCATGACGATCTTGCAGTGTTAGTTTGTGCACAGCATCAACCGTTTCCGGAACGACAACTGATTTTGGACGACCTTCACGAAATTCGTCTTCGAGTGAACTCTGACCTCGGGTGAACTCACAGTACCATCGATAAACACTGGCCCTGGATGGAGCTTCATCACCAAAAATTGAACTAAGTTCATCCATGCATTGCTGTTGAGTTAGGCCACGTCGAAAGTTGTAGAAAATAATCGCGCGAAAATGCTCACGAACCAACCCCATATCTTGGCCTAATCAAAATCTTATAACCTAGTGTAAACAACACAAATCGCGCTCAAATTTCGCAACGGAACCTCAAAATATTCAAACTTCACGATAGTGGTGTCAGTTGCTAGATTGCTACACTAGTGTTTCCAAATCCCGAAATATAAAAGGCAACCCTCGTATGCTGTCGGATCGGAAAATGGCCAGACGGGAAGGGTCTCAAAATCGGCTTAGGTGACGTACACATCTGCAGGCCGAGCTAGTGCTAGGGGAGGGGAGGGAGGCAGACGGTCGGTCGAAGGGCTGAAAACAAAGAAGAACAAAATCAAAAACCAGGGGCTTGTACGAATGTTTTTTGGTCTTTTCTCTCTTTGTTTACAGCCCTTCGAAGGGGCTTGGGCGCGACGCCACCGCGTCGACCGACGGTCTGCCTCCCTCCTTCCCCTTAGCACTGCCTCGGCTGGCACGCCGGCGGACTATGAAAGCAGCAACTGCGTTGTAGAGGATGTATAGCTTGCATTTTTCTCACCGGAATGCACACTTTGCACGCAGGCGGTATGCTGTGGCCAGTTGCACGCCACGATGCCCACATTTGCACAGTTCGTCCAATCACCCCTTCCACGCAACTTTTGTCGTTACATTTTCGTTCAACCCTTAGTTTTACTACTTTTTTGAAGTTTATGTTTGTCTGGAAACGGCGATTTTCACGTTTTCTTCGCCTCTTTTGCCCGATTTTGAACTATCACTTCCATCATTCGTCTAAAACTGGATACCCTTGAATTATCTGAAAGTGTGCGTTTATTTTTTCAACAAAATGTAGATTGAACCATATATCATCGATGACCTAGGACTCGATCATGACAGAAATCATTGTCCAGAGGGGAGGTCAATATGAACCGCTTTTATGGTAGTTTCCATGCAATTATATTCGCTGTCATTGCCATTGCTGCCTCAGCTGCGACGCATAATTGAACCAGCCTTCGGGCCCACTCGCTTTTATCTGAAATGCCTTTGCTTTTTATAGAATTTTACCGCAACACCTAGCATGCTCAATCATACCATCACCATTGATTTTATCCCCTGTAAGCGTTTTTTTCTCGCTCTCTCTATGAAGACAATCGTAGCTAATGGTAGGAGCAGAGTGCATAGAGGCACCATCTGAAATAACTTGCAGTCAAGAGAATGCGCCAAAGGTATATTTCATTCTACGAACTTACATAGGCACATTCCTTGTATGGGTCATACATTGGACTACGGAACTTGGTAAGTCGAAGATAAGCCATAAGAAAGGCATAAATGGCAAACGTTGTCAACTGTATAGTTAGAATCACGCACAGCATAGCCGAGGTGGAAATGTTCTCCGAGGTTTGGTATCGGGAAGTTAACGTTCTCCTGAAAGCTTAAAAAATTTCTTCTAGTGCTTCTTGGACAAGATAGTTCGAATTCGGATTTATGATCAGCTTCAGCGTTTTTGAACGGAAAAGATGAGAGTGAGGTCTTGCATGTAGACGATCGGAACATTTTTTGAGCTCGAATGTAATCTTAAAGCAGTTTTAGAAACGTTCTCTCCGAACTTCAATTTGGTATTGAATCCTGCATCTTTGACATCAAGCGAGAAACGAGCTTCTGCTGAGATATTCTGGGAATCAAACGGCTGCCCGCCTCCCATGCTTCAGACAGGCAGGTTGAACTGCGGCGTTCTCATATTTGCTCCATCTTTAGGAGAGAATGGGAGGGATTTGGGTTGTTGATGTACAGGGTGGGCCAAAATTATGATTACAGCGCGCGCTGACGTTCATTGCAAATTTTTCCTATGATCATAACAATTCATTGAATTTCTTCCATTTCACAAAGTAGCTTACGTTATTACCTTTCTAATGATACTAAACTTTTGGTAGATTTTTAACATAATATAAGCGTAACTATTCCGTGAATTAAACGTCGCTTTGCATTTATAAACACTTTTGGCACGGTGCATCTACAGACGAACTAGCGAAACAAGGCAGGTATTGCATTCAACCATAAGACGCTCTCGAGAGTTGGCAACAATTGCAGATAGGAGTGGTGAACCTAGGAGAGCTGTGGTTATATTTAGGGGAAGTGTCAAGAAAGCAGGGCAAAGGTCTACGTAGGAGCAAAATTCATTCTGAGTCCAAAAAGGACAAATGAATGGATATGTCACGAAATTTTCTGCGTGAAATCGTGAAGCATCTCCTGCACAACGAGATCATTATACGATCAGAAACTGATTCCCCCAGAGAGCAGGCTGAAGAGAAGAGAAACGGCGGCTAACAAAAGCTGCCCTGTCGCATCCGAAAAAATTGTCCTACGGAATCCCTGTTCACCGACGAAAAAATATTCACAGTGAAAAAGGTGCTCAATAAGTAGAGCGACAAGATTTATATGAAGCTCAAAGAAATGAAAGTGATACAGCGCCTGGCTCACTAACTTTCTGTGATGGCCTGTACCAGCATCACCGCCGGGGCAAAGACACCGTTCTTGTAAATTATATTCTTGTAAATTATGGAGTGATAGTTGGTCTGGAGGCCTGTTTGTTCTCTTCGTGCGCAATAGGACACTTTGGTGATTCGAACCGGTCATAATGTCACGATGAAGCTCCTGACCGCAGAACAGAAATTGTCTAGAAATTTCGTGAAAGGGGTTCTTTGACTTCATAACCTTTGATCAGTGACCACTCTGTAGCCCTGACCTAAATCCCATGAATGTCTCAATGTGGTCAGCCTCTGAGATGAAAGCATCTTTTAGCCCAAACAAGAGGAGAAATAATCTCGAAAATGCTTAGCAAAAAGCTGGGACCAACTCGATGACCCTAGCTGCGTGCCACCGTCAATGCCGTCCATCGTCGTCTTTGGGGTTGGGTGAAAGTAGAAAGCAACAGATCCCAGTCTCTATGTACAGTTTTGATAAGAAATTTGTGCTAACCCTTTGATGAAATTGGTTTGCACTATTGGCTTTCTATTCGTTTTCTGCGATGTGATTTCCGTGTAATCACAATTTTGGCCCACCCTGTAGATCGTGGTTTCATTTGGCTACTCTGGATAAGCGGCTTTGCCTAATCTCGCATGCCTTCTATAAAATCAAGACTTTTTCTATAAAGTCTACCACGATGGCTACGGCACAGGGACAAATGCCGACGATGGTTTGCCCAGACTCGGACCGTGGTTTCTCAACCGGCACTCTAATTTATTGTCAATCTAATGAATCTTGTGTGATCCATACTCAGCAACGACGGTTTTCTGTTTGTCTCATGTGGTTTTAATGCAAATATAGCAGTATCTAATGTCTCTTCTGAAGTTTTTACAGTTTACTTGTTTGACATTCATATCTAACAGAAACATATTTCCCCTGTGAATCATGTCGAACAAACTTAAGCATCAGCAATGGAATGCTTTTCCTGACCCGTGGGTTAATCACAGAACCATGGACATCCTCAGAAAGTAACTTGAGCAAATCCCGTCCGGCAAAATTTCACATTGTAGTGGAGGAGATCCATGGATGCTATTTTTCGAGCGTCTTCTGCGGCTGAAAACCTTTTTGCATCACGCTTTCTCGAAGTATCGAAATCAAGTACATAAATATGCTGCAATAAACAATCGCTACAAAGATCGCTGCAGGTGTTCCTTGAAGTCGGTCCATTTTTTCCCTTGCGGTATCATTACTTACATACGTGGAGCTGTATCTGTATGTTGTCTTTGCGCTCCAATTGAGTGATGATTTAAAGCCCTTTCTTGAGACTTACAGTGGAAGGATCCCAAGTCGAAGTGGCCATTTGAATTGGGACCAACACTGCTAGACGTATTTTTTGATGCCGATTTCAAATCTGCATTCAAAATCTGCCAAACGATTCTATGGACGATGTTATGGGGGTGGTCTCCGGAAAGTGCTCAATAGGGGAAAGCACAAAAGCCATTCATGTTCGCCAGCGGCCCAGTAGTGGCGGCTTGGAGTGGAGGTAAGCGTGACGCTTCACAGGCACGGGACCAAGGATCGGGTTTGGTTGGCGGAGGCGTTTTTGCATCTTGCAGGACTTTTTCCTCCAGGTTTTAAAAATCTTTCTATGTCAGTTTTACCGCCTTCAGCGACTTTTTAGTTGATGGAGACGAGTCAATTCCAACTTAAACCGTCTTTCACAGTTATCGATTAAATTTTGAGAAAGTGTGGGAACCGGATGATGAAGAGGAAACAGCAAGCACATCTCGTTGATGAGCACATCTCGTTGGTCGTTGATGTTTGGTAATGTGTAAGTGTCCAAAGAGTAGGTGTGGGCTCTTCTTCCCAGAACATTTGTTAGAGCGAGGTAACAAACAAATCCAAGTGGAAAGCGCCATCGAAAAAGTGAATTTTTTCATTCGTTGCACTCACTGTGAAAGACTTTTTGTTTTGAACGCTTCGTGCTAGATTATCGCACCAGCTTATAATAGGTAAAAGTTATCCTACAGTGGATTTGAAATGTATAACAAAAAACGGAATTTTTGCAATGTTGGTGGTTGGAGTAGATTAGGGACGGTTTAAGTGGGAACTGACTAGCATCCATCAACTAAAAAGTCGCTGAAGGCGGTAAAACTAACATAAAAAGATTTTTACGACCTGGAGGAAAAAGTTTTGCATGATGCAAAAACGTCGCCGCCCACCAAACCCGATCCTTGGTTCCGTGCCTATGAAGCNTCACGCTTACCTCCATTCCAAGCCACCACTGCTGGAATGCCGGCGACCATGGCTTCTGTGCTTTTCCCTGTTGAGCGCTCTCCGGAGACCACCTTCGTAACTTCGTTCAGAGAATCGTTTGGCAGATTTTGAATGCAGATTTGAAATCAGCATCAAAAAATACGCCCAGCAGGATAGGTCCCATTTCAAATGGCCACTTCGACCTGGGATCCTTCCCTTGTTAGTTTTTCTGCAGTGCATTTATTGCATTGATATACTGATCAATTTGACTACAACACTGCTTTGTAACTTTTAAAAACTACGTTTTTCTATTCAAGAGAAGACAGCTCCACCGTCGTCGTTCTAACGGAATTCAAAAGGACTGTTGTTGAATCAATCCTCCCTTCGGTGTTGCAAGGAGCCATGTGTAGTTGGAGTGTCATCCTGGAGGGCCTCGATGCTCTTATGAGAGAACGGGCCATTACCGTTACGTGAACAGTTTTCGAGTCATCGAGTTTGATAAAGCAATCTTTACAAGACCGTAAAGGAAGATGATTCAAGCCCTCTCCCATTTTCCCACCTCCTTCTCCGATGTAGATTGAAGCAGTACAATGATAGTATTATCACTAGTGACAGACAGCAAACAAGGAATACCACAGCGAATGCAGCCGTCACTTTTACGGCCTTTGAGTCGGTGACCATAAGGCTGTTCGTTGTTAGTACGTTAGCAATAATATCTCGGTAATCTCCAGCGGTTTCGAAAATTGTGAGCAGCAGCTGAACATTAAGTTTCTTTCGAAATAACATCGTATCATTTTCCTAACAGAAGCTAAATATCGAGTTCTATTCATACTTTTGACAGATCATTTAAACAAAGCGTCACCTACGTATATGCACATTACAGGGTTGAAGGCGCAGTTCATGGTAGAAATGGCTTATGAAATTCCTCTAGGATGGACCTGTGGTCTCCATGGTTCCACGTGGGGCACTACCGGGTCGAAAAACGGCCTAGTCACCTTTCACTAATTTTGAAGCATTTTTTCGAACATTCATCGGTTTTTGCGCTTTCTTGGCCACCCTTGAGTACTCTGCAACATATACCCAATATTTGGTATGATCCAGGTACGTCAAAACTATCGAGGATTGCGTCTTTCGAGGAAGGGGAAGGTGACAAAGACTACGGGTGCAGTTTGGTGTTTTCCCCGCTTTGTAAGAAAAGGTTATCATATTGTCATATATGGTTTGAATTGCGAGCTAGTACACCGTGGAATGTGTATGTTTTCTTTGGGTTACTTTACATTTCGGGTAATTTTCCTACATAGCCGAAGTCAGGAAATCCTTGACCTTTATGTAAATCAAAGTACGACTTACAAACCAGGATAGTGACGAGAACAGCACCAAGCGCTCGACGTTGCTTCTCATAAGTGTCTACCCACACAGTTGCTACAATTCGTTCAATGATCATCACGAGCTGCATGTTCTGCATACACAGATTCGAATAAACAATCACCGTGTGCGTAGCAATATAGAACACTCGCGGAAGAAACAAATGACACGGGTTTTCAACAAAGAATGACAGTATCAACTGGTAAACCTAAAATCAGCGGCAGATCAACCGTTGATGCTGGATGCCTTTACTATGAATCAAGGCCACAATTTTATTGCAAAAAAAGCAATACGAAATCAGCAGTCGGTGAATAGTGATCCGGTTCATTACCTTTTTCTGTCCACCTCTGCTGTTACTACGAGTTGCGAAAAGGCACAGTTAACGATAAAAAGATCTCTGAGATTTCCCATTTGAATAAACATGTGACCCTCAGGGAGACAGCAATAGGGACGCTGTCGAGTCGAAAAACGGTTTCAACAGAGCGTAATAGGGAGCTTCAAAACAGACTCAGCCAACGTATACATCCAAAGGTGGACAAGTTGTGATGGTGTTGTAAAAGCTATAGGGGTGGCACCATACGCACTACGCACACTCACAATTTGCACGCAAAGAACTTCCTTTAGTCAGCTGTGCTTAGTGGCGAACACATTGAACAGCTTGTCCTAGTGACTCTTCCATGCTTCTTTTGTCGTCACGTTCTCATCCGATCTTTTATTCTCTTATTACTTTATTAAAGCCTTATATACAGTGCGTTTCATAAGTATAAGATCAGCCTCGAATTTGGTATTTACAGGATAAGCAGCCAAGCAGATATTTTTCTGGCACCACCATTAGGTTTCCCTTAGCTTATATTTTCAATCAAAGACTTTGTTTCTCTGACAAGGAAGGTCTTTCAGGGCGTGGGACGCTTTTCGAAAATGGTTTTTTGCATGGTGTAGGGGCATAAGCACTGAGTACAGAACTATAGTCCATTTCCGCTAAATGGCCTTCTGAATGCCAAAAAAAGAGTGAAAATGATTTTGTCATAAATTGTCGTTTTAACCCACTGAACGTCGTTTGTTTCATTCATGGCGTCGTCTGT